CACACACACACACACACACACACACACACACACACACAGAGCGTGTTCCGGGTGTGCCTCTTGCCCACAGCCAGAACAACGGCGGCGCCTTAAGAGGAACGCGCCGCCAGAACCACGCAGCAGAAAATTTCTTACACGAAGAGTCATACTCGCGTCCTTCGAGACATCCGTTAGAATTGGTACGAATGGAGAGAAGACTAGCATGCCCTGAGCAAGGATGACACGCATAGATCGAGAGATTGCAAGGACATAAGAAATGCGAATAGCAATAGACCAAGTTGTACATCTCACAGAAAACCAGATATCACTGAGCCGAAGTTGAAAGCAGAAATCAAAGGGCTTATCCCACCAAATTAATGGGAACGAGCAAAGCACCGAAGTCTCTTGCGAGAATGAAAGCCCTTCCAAACGCCTCCAATCACAAATGCAACAACAATGTAGCCCTCCCTATGCCATCCTGGACGTAATTACTGCTTCCCTCCGCTCCTATATTTCTAGTCTCCATATGTCCACATCAGGTCCACATGTCAACAGCCCAATGCCCCTTCAGGACTCTGATTGGACAGCACTGCCTTCGTCAAGAGCAGGTACGTCCCTCATCACTCTGCCTCTCTTCCTTCTCCCACTCCCTGTTCCATCGAACTCCTCTACTCCACCACTTAGGTACGGACCGAGCAGCCCGGCTATAGCTGCCGCTCTCCTCTTCTCTCTCACCTGACCGCCACCGCGCAGCTTTCTCCTCGGACACAGCCCTCAGCTCCCGCTCCGGTAGCAGCACATTGCCCGAATTTTGGGAATGATTGTCTACCAGCATTTTCTGCCCGCTGGAGAGGCCGAGGAAGCTCTGCCACGCTGCCCGCGTGCGAGTTTGCTTTCACTTTTCTTTTACGTATCTTTTCATCCTTGAGCGGCCCTCATGACATTCTTCCCTGCAGCCTAGTGCCTACCAAAAACAGTAGCTTAGTTGGTTAGGCACGTTAGTGGTATTCAGGAGGGCGTGGGTTCAATCCTTACTAGCGACGTGGGGCACTCTTCGTGCCAACCAACTGAGATAGTTGGCTTGCTCCCCCGGTTCAGTATTGGTAGGGTCTTTGGCCATCACCGCTGTGCGTGCGCGTGGGTCTGTGCGAGAGTGCTGATACTGCTGTTACTCCATGGAGGCGGGGGAAGTTCGCAGCCAGGAGGCTGCGCTTGTGGGGGTTCCATTTTTGCCGTTTCATGTTCATTCTATTTTCGGTAAGGTCATGCAGTACAGCATTTTCGTCGTTTCATGTTCATTCTATTTGTTCTTTCTATTTTCGTTTCATGTTCATTCTATTTTCGGTAAGGTCATGCAGTACAGCATTTTCGTCGTTTCATGTTCATTCTATTTTCGGTAAGGTCGTGCAGTACAGCTTCGCTAGGACAGGTTCGTTTAGGGTCTTCGACAGCAGAAAATATGGTCGCAGTCATCCCTAAGACCGGTTGTAGGGCAGGTTATCTTGTCAAGGTCGTTGCGATTTAGTAGAGGGCGCCATCCATTGTTTCCCTTTTGAGGGATAAGAGTTTTTTTCCCGTTGCAAACTGGGGGCGGGCGATATGGGTCTGGGCGGGCGAACTGGGTCTGGGTGGTTTCCACTTTTGTTTTTTTTCTCTTCTACTGCATCTTCCAAGAAGTACAGTATCGAAGCATTCTGCTCTTTACTACGACCAAGTAACGAAATCTACAACAGAACCCAAGAGCCTAGCTCAGTGGGTACACCAATGAACTGTTGAAATACAGACCTGTGTTCGAATCCAGAGGATGGAACTTGATGAGTAAAATCAACTACTAATGAATTGCTTGGGGCCGGTCAGCTCAATGATAATATCTCAAGGCCATCGTCCTTTAAAAAAAAATAAAAAAAATCTACAACGGACTGCCCTGCCTCGTTGGCAGGGCTTACTAAGAAAAGAAAAGGGAAAAAAAAAAGCGTACTGACTTTCCGGGGGGGGGGGGGGGGGGGGAAAAAAAATTCTTTTTTCCCGGGGGGGGGGGGGGGGGGGGGGGGGGGGGGGGGGGGGGAAACGTACTTACCTTTGCCACGAGAGCTGTGGAGATGGAGGGCCTTGTTCCACTACTGACAAATTTGTGCAAAATGAGCATGAATCTTCTCATAGAACATGGGTAGATACACTGCTAGTATTTTAGAGCTTGAAATGCCCTTTTTCCTGGCCGCGTGTGGGGTGGTACAGCCCTCAGGAGCTTGCTATTCGTTTTTCAGTTGTTGTTTTTTTTTCCCCTCCTGCGATCGAAGAATCTGGGCTCCATCCAGCGGCCTAGCTCAATTGGTTAGGCACACAAGTGGCATTCAGGAGGTTGTGGGTTCAATCCCCATGGCCGCCGGCGGCACTCTTGGTGCCAACCAGCTGAGATAGTCAGCTGGATCCTCCCAGTCGGTATCAGTAAGGTCTTCAGCCAACACGGGTGTGAGTCCGCGTGTGAGTGGGTTACGTGTGGTGTGTGGGAGAGTGTTGGCTTTAGACACTACCATCCAGAAGGCTGCCCATCCCCCACTTCATAAGACATTTGCCAAGCTTACTGTCTAGAACATAAAGCATGCTACCCGAATGGTTGCGTCCCCGCGTCAAACGCGGTACAACAGTAGATACAACTACCATGAAAATGCTTGGTCTTTGCGTTAGCCGTCCCCCCCCCAACACGCTACTCTCTGACCATTGCCGATTAGGCTTGCACGTGTTCCCTGTATAGGGCTCAGGAGTAATGGTAGGTAGATAGTGAAAAGTGAAATTGAGAGTTGTCCCATGGGGACTTACCTGCACACTTGGTATAACAGGAAGAAATCACTGGAGATGGGCAGCAGGTGTAAGGTTGTGGAGGGAGTGTGGCAATAAGGTACAGGGCTCCGTGCTGGACCCCGGTGTCGGGCGCATCGGTCCCGCTGTGAGGAAACCCAGGGAGGGGTCGCCTGCTGTTCGCTGAAGCCAAGGGCTACGGCGCTTGTCACTCGCCGCGCCCGCTTCCGAGGTCCTCAGCGACCAGCAGGGTGTCGTGGGTCACTCACAGCCCGTCACGCTCACTTTCGAATTTCCAAGTATGATGGCCTGAGCGGCCCGCTCTTCTGCAGAATGAGTTGGGTTCTTCTTGGAGATTACCGCTTACCCTGTTTCACACTTGCAGGTAGAATCAATCAAAAAAACAAGTTTACTTGACCAGTTCCCATGAGGGGTCTCAAGATTTCCCTCACTGATGGGCGCTTAGGCGGGACTGGGTTGAAACCTCTGGTATAAACATGCACTAAGCCGACTGCTCTTTGTAGCGACAGCCTCACGCCTCAGTATTTAGACATACTCACATTCGTCTAGTGCGATCACACTTGTTATAATAAGAACAGCGAAGAAACTTATTCGAGCACCCATGTCACCCCCAACCGCTTTGTTCGGCTGCGAGCACCAGTTCCCTTATCAAATGTATGCTACCTCTGAAGTCAAAATCAGTCTCTTTCACTGAGTTAAGCTAACTCCTTGATTTCAAGTTGTCAGATTTGCCAATTTAGTGGAAACAGGCGGGAACACCGAAGGCTCAATCAAAGCGACGAGGAATTTTTTATTCAAGTTATTCTTTCATGACAAGCTTTAGCACTCAAGGGGCCATCGCCCGCTGTAGACAGACACCCACTGTACCTAGCGAATATTAAGTAACAGATGAGCCTGATGCAAGGTAATGACCAAGTTTTTTTTCCTAGACCTTCAACATGTTCCTTATGTTTGTATGTGTGTCGGCTCTTACCCCCTCGTTAGAAACACGAGCCAACGATTCTCGATCAAGCAATGGTCAGCAGCGGCGAAATATGCCACAACCAGCGCCCTCACAGATGGTAGAGTAGGACGGATTTGTTGCCCGAACACGGAAAGTCACATTGTCATTCCCTTCGCCTCTTAAGCACAGCGTGACTATCTGGTCGCCCGCCACTTGAGGGCTGAAAGTGAACCCGTACCTTGGTCACACAAATGCACCGTTTCAGGTCGCCATCCCAGCCTAACTGAAGTTTTGTCGAAAAAGCGAAGCGACAGGAAATCACCGCGAATCGTGACCAGATGCGTTGTCCCCTTTCCCGGTTTCGGTATACTGAAAATGAGGGCTCGAAAAGGCGCCTTCACATTAGCAAGAGCGTGATCTGATTCTCTGTCATTGGTTGTCTGCAGCGCATTGTGTCCTCACTCGACTAGCCATTAACTCGGAAATGGAAATACCCTTCTTCAGCACAAGCTTTGGTAGATGCGCTATCTTATTATAAGTTTGCACCACTCCGCGGCTGCTTCTCTCCCTCCCTCATATTCTCACCCTCACCCACAATCTCAACACCCCTCACTTCGTGTGCTAGTCATTCCCCGCGGTGCCGCTTTCCCGCTACTTCTATTGCGGCTGAACCTGGCGGGGCTAGCGGTCAACACATATGATTAAGGAGTCCGAGTTCTGAGCAGCGCTGTGCACTCACTGTCCACGCCGCTCGGAGTCATTCAGTCCCTTGCTGATCCCCCTTTTCGCTTCCCGCACTCACCATCACGCTCATGCGCACTTACTCCCACTCTCCTCCTCACTCTCTATTGTCAATCTCTCTCTCTCTCTCTCTCTCTCTCTCTCTCTCTCTCTCTCTCTCTC